ATAGACCTTATTTTATTTAATATTGACCCCAAAGTGCAAGAAGTCATGATTCTGGCAATTTTAGTATAGAAGATTGTTGTTGCTTACTGGCCTAATTTAGAAAGTTTATGACAGGTACGTACAGGGAAAAACAGTATAAACAGGGATCAGTGCTACCTGTACTTTCAGACATCTATGGGGGCACTGGAATATATCTTTTCCTGTAAGGGAGGACTGTTTTTTAAAAAATTTACAGTATCTACAGTAATAACTTAAAGACTAGTTTTTTTCTTTGTTACTATTTTCTTTTGTAATTGGTAAGTAATGTAGTTTGTGGGTAGATAATCTGAACTTGATAAAATATCTGCTCCTCATCTGTTTTCCTCACCCACCGATGATCTTTTAATTCCATGATTCCTTCTGTATTCATTATGTGGTGTTGTCTGGCAAAGAACCTTTTCTTCTGTTTGTGCTTAATTTATAACACGTGACTCATGGGTATTTATTCTTCGATGGCAGCCCATTACTGCCCTTATTTATTTGGATGCTTGCATCATTCCAAGCCCGTGGTTTGGATGTGTCCCCATGGTTTTTTTTTTTAGGAACTGCTTACTTTCTTGTATAATAGATGTTCCAGTCTCATTTTTGCCTAGGAATCTTTCACTGATTTAGTCTTGGAATCATCCCTTTCTCCAAAGAGCCTTGAATACCAAAGGAAAATAATAGAAGTTAAAATTTAGGTATTAGGTATGAAAGACCATCACTTTTTAAATGTGTGAAATGTACTTCCAGCATGCTTAGTCCATGTTGAAAGAATTTAGGCTGCTTATCTAGAGCTGAGCATGAGCCAGAGGGGAGGTCTTTGGCTCCTGAAAGAAATGGAAACCTAGGAGGAAATTGGCTCCCCGCCCAGTAATTTAGATGTGTCACCCAGTATGCCAGTTACAGTCTCAGAAAATTGGTAAGATCCTTAGTTTGTCCTTCCAAGCAAATGCTGTTCTCTAAATCTCTTTCAAAAATATGATGGGACCTCGTCGTGCAATGGTAGCGCGTCTGAATCCAAAAGTATGTTAGCATTGCTCCTGCTATCTGCTGATTCATGATCCCATCACAGCAACAGTACAGACTGTTTCAAAGACTTCGTGCCAGTACCTGTGGCTTTCAGCATCCAATGTCTCTGAATCTCCTCTTTCAGGGACCTGCACAAGCCAACCATGAGTACAGTGGCAACATGAGATATGCTTGGGCCTTACATGTCACCTCAGTAAACACTGTGTAGAGTCTCCTTCCAAGCTGTGGAGAATCTGAGCTGTGGGCCTAGGGAAGGAGAAAAGGCAGCTACATCGCACCAGAGTGGGGAAAGAGTGCCTGGAGCAAGGTGGGATGTACAGGATTTCCTCTTTCTCTGACTCCTCCAAGTGAAGTCAAGGGAAAGCAGAGCTTGGGATTTGATGGATCCAAATTGTTGGCTTTTACTTGGAACCTCATCTCTTACTCCTTGAGAAATGTTATTTTTTCGTTAAATGTTTATTTCTCATTAATCTTGTGTTAAGAGTCATGTAACCCTGTTAGCTGGGTAGGCTGCTTCTGTTCCAATTAGTATATATTTCCATAAGTGTTGAGTGGGTAAAAGGAAGGAAGAAGTTGAATTTTTTAACTATTGATCTTGAGGGACTTGTATGAAGGTGTGTTTAACATGCGTGTACTATAACTGACTCTTAAAAAAAGCTCTATAAATGGTAAGTTATGGCTTTGATAATTTATGCTAAGCAGAATAAACTATGATGGAAACATAAAATATTTCTAAGCTTACACTTTAGTCACTCAATACAAATGAAACTCAGACTTCTTACTTTAGAGTACTGACAATCTCCAGAGGAAACGAGACTGTGTGCTCTCCCTGTGCTTGCCGCCACACCTGCCAAGGTGAAGAGCTGAAAATGCTCTGATACCTAGACTGGAAGGTACTGGGTGATGTCCCCATTTGCAGACCATCCCCACCATTGATTGCATTAAGGACTTTGTATCCATCTGTTGAAGAGGAATGGCAGAGACAAGGCTTCAGCAGCCAACTCAGTTCACTGTCCATACTAATAGGCTGGTTTCCTAAGTAGAAAGTGAAGAATTAAACCAAAGAAGCTTATTGTGAGAGAATCTGTCACCTCCTGTGATATGTCTGGCGAGAAAGTCAACAGGAAGTTTGCTTTCTGTTTGGCTTGGTTGACTCCTGTAGGTAGAGACCGTTTACCAGATGGAAAAGCACAAAGATGGTAAAGAGAGAAATGGTATTTTCATGCTTCTAAGAGGGTATTAGAATAACACAAGGTTTCCAACCTATGATTAAAAGGTTTTGATTAGGTTGCTTTCAAAAATAGACATTTTATACTAAAATAAATTTCTTAAAATTTTCCTTCTATCTATGCCGTTTTCCCCCAAACCCATACTCTATAAATGGCCCACTTAAACAGATTTCAAGAGTAAAAAAATATGTCTTAAAAGCATCCAGATGCAGTAGTTCAGTGATCCCACTTAGTAGATGGGGAATCCAAAACCCCAAAGTTAGAGCAATTTATCAAGTGTTGCATAGCTAGCTAAGGGCAGGTTGAATTTGGAAGCCATGTTACTCATCAGGGAAATGCTGAGGATAGATTGAATTTCTTAGTGTCACACTGAAAGAGGACACAGACCTTGTGGGGAAGGAGCCAAATGTGCTGTTGGTGTAGTTTTGAGCAGAAGCCAGGGTTAAGACTTGTGGGTCCAAGCTGAGTGTACTCCACCCCCATTAGCATCTGTGGCAAGTTCTTTCTTCTTTGGGTTGTCAGTGGCCTCAACTGAAAAATGAGGTAATTTGCAGTTCTAATATTATGAATCTGAGAAAAGAAAGGACTGAAAAGGTGATATGATCTAGGGAAATAAAGAATAAACTAGTGGAAATAAAGATAAATTATTCTGGGGAAGGGTAATTCATAATATCTTAGCAGGGTTTTCTGAGATCAATTAAACTTTAATAACTCAGTTTTCAGAAGAATGTCAACACTCAGACAAGGAGTTGTCCAGGAGAAAGAATGGGCAAAATTCATGATTAGGTAATTCAAAAAAAAACGAATACCCATTTGTGTCTAATAAACACATGGAAAGTGTTCCACTTTAGGGGAAATACAATGAAATGCATTGGTCAAAATTCTTCACTAAACTAGATGAAAAAATGATACTAATATTTGGAATTGGTGAAGGCACAGAGAAATAGATTTTCAAACATTAGAATGCAAACTGCTAAGAATGGAATAGAGAGCCATTTGGACACGTATTACATTTTAAAAATAGAGACTACCTACAATGCAGTAATTCTAACTCCAGGAATTTACCTTATAGGAAATACACATAATTTTCCAGTTAATGTAGTGAATTAAAAATGGGTGCAAATTCATTGCTGCTTTCTTACCAAGAGGCATTTATTTTCCTTCCCTTTAAACTGGGCTGGCCTTGTCACTGGCTCTGACTGTAGGAGAGCGGGGCTCAGGACACAGGCCCTGAGAGGACTGGCAGTTTCTGTTTGCTTTTTGGAAGGCAGTTGCCTTTTAAGTCCAGTTGACAGGAGGTGTTCATGCTATCCTGCTTGTCCCAAACACAGAAAAAGTTCATATGAAGGAGCACCAAGGTTCCACACCAGTGAGGGAAGCCTTTAACCTTTGGGTCCAGCTGGGCTGAATGCAGCTGAGTGACTCCAGATGAGGCCATGTGTAGCAAGACTATTGAGTCAGGGCCCATCTGAATCTCTGAGCCCCAGAACCATGAGAAATAATCTTGTCTTACGTCACTAAGCTTTGGGGTTTTTTTTGTGTGTGGGTCATTAACAGCAAAAAATAACTGAAAGCAAGAGGCAAATCACCCCTGCAGGCAGGGAGCTACAGGAACCCAGGTATTCAGAAGGCAGAGGAAGGACTGGCTGGTGGTGAGGGAGGTTATGAACACCAGTCATGATTCGGACCAGGTACAGAAGTGATGACAGTAGTGGTTGTAAGTAGTCCTTCTTTTATAGAAATACAGCTTATTTGTTTAGATATTAAATAATAGATTTTCTTTTTTCCTTCTCTCAACTCCACACTTCATTAATATATAAAATGTATTAATCATGATTAGCCATATATCTTAGAATTTAGGTTACAGGATAGTGGAGGGGAATGAAACGCAGGGATAAAAACAAACATCACCCCCAAATAGGTCATATGTGGCTTAATGCTGAAAAATAAAAGAAAAAAATCTCAAAGCAGCTGCAGGAAAGCAGACGAGTGACTTTCATAGGGCCAGTTATAATGCTGATAACCAAAACGATAGAAGCTAAAAGGAAAAAAATAATCTGGTAAATGCAAAAAATACTGCAATTCTATAATGACACAACTTTAGGGGGAAAAAACCAACAGTAGGATACCGTTAGTAATGAATTAGCCAGTTAAGTGTGTAGATCATTGGTAGGGCACTTGGCTAATATGAAGGAGGCCATAGGTCCCACCTAGTGCTCCCCCCAAAAAGGGAAAGACGATCAAAAAGCAAGACCCAACTACAGGGTGTCAAGGGGAAAGATACTTTAAATATATATATATATATAAATAAAATAGATAAAAGGATAAAAAATAACCATAAACAAAATACATAGTAGATTTATTTGTATCAGATGAAGTGGACATGAAATATTGCCAGGGACAAAGAATGAGATAACATGCAAAAGAGGACAGTTATTCCAGAAGACATGTCATTTGTTATGTCCCCCTCAAAGCCTCATGTGGTCATAGGAGTGGCTTTTGGAAGGTGACTGGATCATGGGTGTGTGATACTGGATTAGTCTACTGATTGGATAGCATACTTCTAGGTGTGGATGATGGACTTATTGAAGAGGGAAGACTCACTCTGGGTGTGGGTGGCACCAGTCAATAGGCTTGGAGCCTGGGTGGAATAAAAAGGGAAAGGAGGATGAAGTCTTACTGTTGCCTGGGTGCCATGTCATGGATGTTTCTCCTCTGCAGCGGCTCTCTGCCATTCTGCCCTGCTGCGGGGGTGAGCTGAATGTGGACCGAACCTCTACAAACTGTGAGCTAAAGTAAACCTTTCCTCCTTTAACTTATGGGTGTTGGGTATTTTGTCCCGGTAATGGGTAATGAGAAAGTAACTAAGACATCATTTCTAAATGTGAATGCACCTGAGAAAAAAGTTCAAACCATGCCAAGCAAAAAGTAATAAAACTTACAGGAAAAACAGACAAATATACTGGAGAGTCTAGTCACTGTGAGAAGGTAAGAACTAAAAAGGGTATACATTAGAAAGAAAAAAAACAACTGTCTTTACTTGGAAACAACATAATCATGTATGTAGAAAATCCCAAAGAATCTACTCAAAAATCCCACAATCTATTATAGCTAGTAAATTCCCTAAAGTTTGGTATAAAAGTTTAATATACAAAAATAAATTTTACTGCTATATATTAACAGTGAATTGGAAATTTAAATCTAAAGAGTTATTCTTACAGCATTAACCATGCATGAATCTTAACAAAATATATACTAGGTTTATATTTAAAAAAAACTATAAAACAGCAATGAGAAACATAAGAAAAGTCCTGAAGAAATGGAGATGGAGACCTATTTGAATTCATTGATTAGAACAATTAAGGTAGTTAAGGTATCATTTCTCTCCAAATTGGGTGACACAAAGCGGTTCCAATTAAAATCCCAGAAAGTGTTTTAGCAAGACAGAAGAATGCAAGGGCTCATTGCCCTGGCTAGTCTAAAGTCAGTCTGTACAGACAGTGAGGGACTGGCATATGGCAGAGCATGTGGATCAGTGGAAAAAAAAGTCCAAAGTGGACCCATATGTGCATGGTTAATTGATTTTTGGTAATTCAATGAAGAAAGTATAGTCTTCTCGGTGAATGGTGTGGAAGCAAGATATTTAAAGTGAAAAAGAACGTCAATCCTTACAGAAATAAACTCAGACTCAAAGATCTAAAAATAAAAGTTAAAAATTTAAAAAGAATGAAAACAGGCCAGGTGTGGTGGTACAGTTATATGATTTCAGCACTCAAGATGCTGAGGAACGAAGATTGTAAGTTTGGGGCCAGCTTGGGTTACATAGCAAGACCCTCAAAGGGAGCACGGAGTGGGGGAGAGAGAAGAGAGAAGATCTTGGGTTAAAGAGTTCTTAGATGCAGAAAGTGAGAAAAAAATAATAAAGATCTCTTCATAAGAGAAAAAAATCAATAAACTGGACAAAATTTAAAACTTGAGCTTTTTCAAAGACATTTTTAGCAAAGATAGGCACCAGACTCAAAGATTCGAAAAACACTTTTTTTTTTTTTTCTTTTTGGTATCGGGGATTGAACTCAGGACCTTGTGCTTTTGAGGCAGGCATGGTGCCACTGAGCTAAATCCCCAGCCAAAAAACTCTCCTTTTAATTTTTATTATACATGCAGAATACACATTTGCAGTTTTTAACGATTACATTCATTATGAAGAATTGGTAAATGTTCATAACACATCTTAATTCTTTATTTTCCCCTTCCCCTCCAGCCTCCACCTTTTGGCCAGCATCAGATTTATCTTATAATTCCTTATAAAGCTAATTGTTATACATACGGATTAATAGGCTAACATGCCAAGAAATATAAACACATAAGACAGTTATGCTAAACCAAGGTCCACTTTTAGATACACTGTCCATGCTGGATTACAGTAACTTTATTTTTTCTTTTTTTCCTATTGTATTTATATATTGAATTTCTCATATAAGACAAACTATGTGTTATTTAAGTTTGTGTATCTGACTTCACTGAACATTCGCTAATATTCACTGAACATTATGGTCTCAAGGTGCATCCATTTTCCTACATATGATTCAGGGTATTATGTCTTTACATTACAGTAGTACTCCATTGTGTATAAATATCACGTTTTCTTCATTTGTTGATGGACATTTAGGGTGCTTCCAAATTTAGCTATTATGAATTGTGCTGCTATAAACATAGGTATGAATACATCACTGTGGCCACAGATTAGGCTTTACAGAGGTGGCTGGATCTAAGTGTGTGATGCTGGGATTATGCGTGTGTGATTACTAAATCAGTCCACAGATTGGTTTGGCATAGTTCTGGGTGTAGATAATGGGAATGCCCACCTTGGGTGTGAGTGTTACCTGCCCTATGGGTGTGTAGCCTTGATAGAATATAAGGGACAGAGAGAGGGCTGCTACTGTCTCGTTGCCATCTGCCTGCCCTGCTTTGCCATGGACTGTTTCTCCTCTGCGATGCCTTTGCCGCACACCACCCTGCCTTGGAGCCAGCCAACTATGGACTGAAATCTCTGCAAACTGTGAGCCAAATAAATCTTTCTTCCTTTAGCTTTGGGTGTCGGTTATTTTGTCTCAGCAATGGAGAGATTAAAACAGGCATGATGTCTTTATCTCTTTTGTGAAGATACTTAGAAGGGGAATAGCTGGGTCCAATGTAATTTCTATTTTTAGCTTTTTGAGGAATCCCCATACTGATTTCTATGAAGTGTTCCTTTTTTCTTGCAGGCTCACCAGTTTTTTGGTACCAGGGATCAAACTCAGGACCTTGTACTTGCAAGGCAGGCGTGGTGCCACTGAGCTAAATCCCCAGCTCTATTGGTGGCATTCTTGATGCTGGCCATTCTTTTTGAGATGGAATCTCAGTGTTGTTTTAATTTGCATCTCTCAAATGGCCAGCGATGTTGAACATTTTTTCATGTATTTATTGGCCATTTATCCTTTTTTTTTTAGTACTGGGGATCGAATTTGGGACCTTGTGGGCCATTTATACTTTTGAAAAGTATCTCATTTCAGATGCCCATTTTTTGATTGGGTCTTTAAATCTGGGGGGGAGTCTAATATTTCTGAATTCTTCATTCTAGATACTAGTCCTTTGTCTGAGGAGTAGCTGGCAAAATTTTTTCCCATTGCATGGGTTGTCTCTTCACTCTGTTGGTTTCCTTTGCTGTCCAGAAGCCTTTTAATTTGATATGATCCCATTTGTTTATTTTTGGTATTATTTTTTGTGCAACTGGGGTTCTGTTCAGAAAGACTTTGCCTGCATCAAATCTTTAAGAGTCTTATCTGTTTTGTCTTCCAGTAGATTGTGTTTGTGTTCTAATATTTAGATGTTTGATCCATTTTGATTTTAATTTAGTGCCTGTGAGAGAGATGGGTGTAGGTTCAATCTTTGACATTAGTAGCCAGTTTTCCCAGCACCATTTGTTAAAGAGGCTATTTTTCCTTTGGTGAAAGCATTTGGTCTATTTGTCAAAGATAACATAGCTGAGTGCTTTTGCAGGTGAGTGTGTTCAAACTGAGCCTTCAGGGTGTGCTGAACTGTAGCTGTCTGCTCTGAGATTCATTTAGCTTTCATAATAAAAATATAAAAATACCATTTAATGTGATCACTGGCTATGACAGTTTATTAAAATGATTTGCAGAATGAATATAATCTTCATGTCAACTGAACAAGAAAAAAACCGAGATCCAGTGGAAAGAAAACCACACAACTCAATTTTTTAAAAACTACTTAACTGCCCTTCCTCTCAAACCTGCTCCTCTTTCAATTTTCAGTATATGTGATCCTGGGAAAGCTGAGTGGCACAATTTAGAGTTAATAAATTTTTACTATCATAAGCTGGGAAAGGTGTTTAGGAAAAACAGGAGGAAATAGCCTATCCATATGAACATAATAATTGCATAATAGTTATTGTTTGGGACTGAAGTGTTTCAGATATGCAAAGTCATAAAATATCAGGAAAAGCAAAACTTTCTAATGTTAAATATATCATAAATTTTTCCCAAATTAAGACATATGAAAAAAGTGCAGGAGACACTTTATGTCAAAAGAAAAAAACGCCTTTCAATGTAAGTTAAAGCCGGGAACCTCAGAGGACATGGTATACTCATCATGGAGCCTTGAGGCCACAGTGGCAGCCACCAGCAGAGTAGAGAAGGCAGTGCTGTCTTTTCTTAAGCTTAAGAATCACCTTAAGAATCACGTCTGAACAGAAACTCACTTGGCTTTTATTATGTCTTAAAGGTAATGTCAAAAACCTAGGATTTTAGTATCACATTTAAAGAATATAAATCACAGAGGCACATAAATATATTTAAAATAGTGGTTCCTATATGGGGAAAACACATTTTCTTTCTACCAATAATTAATCCAGGTGGTCTCATGAGTCCCTTTGTAGAATTCCAGAGCTGACCTCCATCCTAGGCTGTTAGGGTGGATATTCCACATTGATTACATTCATAAGTGCTAACAAGACTGTTTTTGAATGAATGAACAGATATAAAGAAAACACATTTTCATTGCAGCTGTTCTTTAATGATAAGTTACCGCTTTCAGTTTACAGAAATCTCATTTTCAGTCTAACTTGATTTTTATATTTTGCTTTAAGTTCATTGGACATGTTATTCCATCACATTTAGGGAAATATCACCCTAAAAGGCTCCTTGTTATTATTGGAGGAAGTAGCACATTTTTGAAGGTGGACTGACTACAAAATAGTCTTAGCAGTCTACACTTCATTCATGTTTGTGTGGATTCCGATGGCATAGAGTGGCTCCTCAGCTCTAGTAAGTGTGAGTGTGACTGTGGCTGTCTCCGTGAGGTCCTCAGCCCTGTAAACAAGGCACACATCCTGTTGCTCTTCTCACAGAGGCCTCAGGAAATTAGATGCATGAGGCCCTTTGAATTGGGTTCTCTGAAACTTTGTATTTGCCTTTAAGAAAAAAAGCTGCTCTTTTCTACAGTTCTTGAGATTTGCAGGCAAGTAAGTGAAGTGCACATTGATGAGAGATTTTTAAAAATTTTAAAAAGGTTTGTGAGCTCGTTTAAATGGATAATGTTGATCAACCAAACAAATATTTACTGAACATGTAATAAGTGTATGTAGGGATTACAAAAAGGTGCTCATTCAGGACTTGCCCTCAATCAATTCTTAACTCTGGGGCCACTGCAGGAGGCTCAGTGGGGCTTAGAGGGCGCCCTGTGCGGGAGCCAGCCAGGAAAACTGCATGGGAAAGTAGGGAAGGAGACTGCCATGAGAAGCTAGGGAAGAGGAGGCAGACGGTGGTGCAGTGGCACGTGACATCCTAAGTACTGCAGTGGAGCTCTGCCTGAGGACCTTGTTTGTCACCATAGGCCACAGGCTCCACTGCTGTCTCTGGTCTCAAGGATCACTGGCAAGTTGGCCTCTGTGAGGAGCCAACAATGGTGGTTTCTTGTCTGCTTCCCTGGTTCTGCTGACTGACTGCACTTCGAAGCTCTAACTCCCTTTGGGGTATGGATGCAAGCTATAAAACTGCTTGGCGGGCTTATAGTTGGCTCCCAACTCCATGAGACAGTGACCCAACACACAGGTCTTTTGCCATCTGGCCCCTCCACCTTGGTGTCTTCCTGCAGGATTAGGAAAATGGAAAGTTGACACCAATGGTGATCTTGCTTATGCTGCTGTGCTAAGGAGGAAACTGAAGCCACCTGGACTGCTTATCTCCTTCCAGGCAGAACCTATGGAGTGTGCAATCCAGCCCTGCAGCAGTAGCTGCTGCTCCTTGGGACTGTCCGATGAATGGCACACATGGGCCAGGGAGGCATGGCAGGAGGTGGCCAGTGCCCTGGCAGACAAACTAACCTTGTTGTAGTGAGAGGAAGAAGCAGATCAAAACCAACAGATGCACCTCTGTTTGGCATTTTAAAAGACATAAATTAGAAATGATTTGTCCTAGCTGGGTGGTGGCACACACTTGTAATCCTAGTGGGTCAGGAGGATTGCAAGTTTGAGTCTAGTGTGGGCAGCTTAGCATCTCAGGAGGACACAGTTTCAGAAAATAAAAAAGGGCTGGGGATGTAGCTCAGTGTGAAGGCCCTGGGTTCATTGCAAAAAAGAAAATAAAATGACTTGTCCCAAGAAAGAACAGACCTACAGCTAATAACTACGGACTAGAATGAAAGATTATCATTTGTAATTTAAATTGCGCTTGGCAACTTTCTTTCCATCTTCCTATTTATCTCACTTACCCCCCCCCCGCAACTAGGAGAAACTGACTACTATAACCTAATTAATGAGCAAACACTTACGGACTCCCATATATACTTTTGTACCTGCCACTGCAAACACATATAAGTGAGATGGGGGGTGATTTTTAAACATGTATAAGTAACTTGTATGAAAGCATAGATGGTGGCCTGTGTCATTAGTCTTCTATAGGAATTTGATCTTCAGAAAGGAGAGGCTTGTATATGTGGGTCTGTGAGGAAGCTTTCCTCACAGTTTGTGTAGGGATGCTTAGTATGTTCTTTGTTTTATACGACATGTATCTAATAGTATTAGAGAAGGAAAGCTGAGGTAAAATGAAATGTTCTTGTAATTAATTTTTTTGGTACTGAGAAGTGCTTCTAGGATCAGCATTAGGAAGCAGTTTTCTTTAATATGTTACTGGAAATCTTGAGTGCAGTCCATGCTGTGCAGCTGTGGGACCAGAGTGCTGGGTACAGATCCCAATTCTGTCGTGGGCAGCTCTGCAGAGGACCCTTAAGCAGCCATTGCTTGGTTATAATGGTGCTCATCTTGTAGAGGAGCTGTGAGCCTTCAGTGAGATGAACCACACAAAGTGTGCAGCACACAGTGGCTGTGCTGTATTATTATGTCAGATTTAATATATCATTGTTTTTGGTAGCAAGTAGAGTTTCCTGGTACTGTATAAGGAAAACTACACTTTGGTCATCCTCATTCTTGCTTTTTTCTGCTTTTACTTTCCTTTGGGAAAAGATGAAAAGTGACTTGGGTGGTAATGAGCAGAAAAGGGGATCATGAATATAAGGCTCTGTAAAGATTTACAGTGGTTTCTAACATCTGTTGGGTTTCTTGTGCCTTTGTTGGAACTGGTTGTTTTAAAATGTTTTCAGTTGCCAGAATTTCCATGATTTATGACAGCTTGACTATTTGGTATTTGGTTCCAGAAAACAAGTTAAGTCTTTTTCAAGTGCCACAGTATCACTTCACTACTCACAATATTTGAAACTTATTTTAGAGATACGCCTTTTTAATATTTCAGTTTTCAAAGGCATCTGGCCTCTATTTAACCATCACATTTACATCCAGTTCCTGCAGGCATGGTTTTGGTGTTTAAGGTTGACTTGATGGCCTCTGCAGAAAGCTTTTGCTTTAATGAACATACAGTAACTCTGCTAAAACTGTTAGGGTCCTCTGCTGCTCCTTAGTCCCATGACTGTACAACAGCACAAAAAATTTCAGCTTCAGCTTTAAAGATAAAATGAATACAATGTTGGAGAATCACCGGGGGTGGGGGGCTGTTATGACATACGGAATTTGTTGCCCTTACATTATTTGCAGAAGTGTTTATGTACTATGAAATGTGCAGCCAGAGCATACAGGAAGCTGTAAAATATTTTATGACATGTATACATGGTTGATGGTAGAATTTAAGTGTAACCTGGGAAGGGTCTATCTAAATTTCAGTAGGGCAGATGAAAGAATACTTCTCTGTAGTGACTTTTTTTTTTTTAACACAAGGGATTATATGAACTGGAAAGCAATACCCGATTTGGAAACTACATTTTAAAATTTCATAAAATTAAATTGTCATTTCTAGACAACTAAACTTGTTTTCTTTCAGACCAAGAATCACCAGTTGTATTTATTTGTCTTCTATATGATAAAAGCATTAAGTGTGGGTTATTTTATTTAAAAAAGAACAATAATAAATGAAAACTTCTCCCTAGATATAGGTACTATATACCATTTAAAAATATTTGCACTTTGGATGGTTTTCAGATTAATTGGAACACTTTTGAATCTCAACTATTACAATATGTGAAGGCAACAAGATTAATGATATAACTTCTAAATAGCACATTCTAAAAGTCACTTCCAAATTTAGGTGAAGGCAGAAATACTTCTATTTCCTTCACCCCTAGTCTAAGGAACAATATCTGTTTTTCCAAAAAGAAGTTACTTCTTGGTTTATTTTCAGATTTCATCTCTAAATCACAAGGGACAAAACCCAGAAACCAGTTTTGTGTATTCACACCTGATTTTAAGAGTTGAGCCTGATGTGCAGAAGAACACAGGTCATTTAATATAGTCCCTCCGAAGATGATTTCACTGTGTATCATTTATGCTTTTTCATGTGTCCATAATTAGTCACTTTTTATTTACATTTGTGTATGGGATAAAAGTGCTATAAAACTCCAGCATACCTTAGTGATATTCTCATACAAATCTAGTATGGTGGAGAGTAAGAGACTGAAATTGAGACCATGGATTCTTGAGAATTTTGAGAACTGGGGAAAGTCAGTTTTTCTCTTTAGGCTTTGTCTTATTTTCATCTGTGAAATGAGTGATTGTTCTCAATGATCTCTAAGATCATCTTCTATTCTATCTTGGATTCTACATAATATTTTAATCTTGAGAATTAATGAAGTCACATTTTCTGAAACTTTCCTTCTGTGAATTTTATTTTTACATGCATTGCTTAGTGAAATTTAATTTCACCTCTGATTTAGTCTTGTGGGAAGGTTAAGAGAAAGAACCTAAGTATAGAAAAGAAAAAATAATAATATTGAGCAATTATGCGGACATTGAGGCTGGTTTAGGACAGACATAAATGACCTTTTTAAATTCTAAATTCAGCTCTCTGGCTTATGATGAAAAGTGAAAGGTTATTATATGAACTTACTGGGCAAAACCAGGTTTTATAAATAATTACCTGTCAGACTGTTCAGGATAGACAAACATACACCAGACCAGCAAAAACACAGACCTGTCATATTTCTGAGAAATGTACATTGAGTCTTCCTTCTCTGGGACTATAAGGAGATCAGGTAGAATAAAATGAAGGGGAAAAAACTAAACCTTGTATTCTCTGCCTTGTACATACTTTAAAATATATAATGTGAGAGAGAAAAGAATTTCATTGTGAAAAATTACCCCTGAAAATTTTATATGTCCTCAAAACCAAATATAGTGTATACTCTTGTTTTAAAAGTTGGGATGTTTATTGCAGGCTTACAATTTTTGTGATTAGGGATGCCAAGGAAAATAAGAATGACGATAAAAAGTTTAATCATCCACTTTAGCAAGCACAGATGGACATCAAAATTCTTTGGCTGTTTTTTGATATTATATACAGTGGACACTTGACTTAAAAACTCAGTTCATTCCTGAGGCTGCTTGTAACTCAGGTTGGTCAACTGCCTTCAGAGTCTCTCTCCTGTATAATTTTAGGCCACACTTTGTTCCAGGCAGATTTCAGTGTCCTTAGAAAGACACTGGCCCAGGGCTTCTCAACCTGGATGATGTAATGTTCCTTCCAGAACTCTTTAAGGGTTAAATCTGTATCTGAGACCATCTGGAAGCACAAGCAGCTGGCATTCTGGTCGTGACTCAAGATGCTGGTTGTAAGTTAAAACTAAAATTCGGTCATAACCCAAGTTGTTCACATGTCAGGCTGGTCATAACTTGAGGGTCCACTATCTGTATTTTTTGTTTCTGACATGCAGATTTTTTTTCCCCCAGAAGGTTTAACATGTAAGAGGTAAATGACAGTTTAACCAACTTAAGTGAATAACAGCACAGTCCTACTGATTAATTTGGTCACAAGAAAACTTTCATGCTTCTCATTTGTTTTTATGAATTCTTTATAAAGGCTTTTTTTGGTGTAAAAACCATGATAAAAGTTAAATTATACAAAACTCCCACAGAATTAAGTAACTTCCTTCTTTGCAATTCATGTTTAATTAGGAAATGTACAATTATATCTGGTGTATTTTAGTTTATTCCCAGGAGTTACAATTCCTCATTTGCTAGGGAGAGGGTAGATGCCAGAGGGAGTACGGTTGCTCCCATCAAGTGCTTCCAGAAGTGGGGGGCTGGCTGCTGAAGGGAGAGGGGAGGGCAAGTCCCTCTTCCGCCTCTCTGACTTATGACTGCTGCTGAAGGGCGTGGAGTGAGTCGGAAGGTGGGTCTGGGCAAAGCAGGGAGTGGAGATGGAGGAAGGAGTCGTATGTGAGGAGAAACACATGATTGGCAGGAAGTTGGGGAAAAGGCTTGTGAGTGACACTGTACATTTAAGTGGGGTGATGGGAAGAAGAGTGAGGACTGGCGGTTCATGAGGTTAGTTAGATCTTTAATTAGTAGAAGTTTATAAAATAAATATGTCTGCATTTATTTTAGGAACAACTAGTCAGCAAGTGTTAGGAAGTAAAATTGGTGGGATAGTACAGTGGGAGAAGACTATCCTCTTTGTCTCCTTTTTTCTGAACCTGGATTATAAAATGTATCAAATAAAACGCCTGACTAAACACTGAAGGGGGGGCTACTTTTAAGATACGTGAGCTGAGGGAAGCAAATCCATGCCAAGTTAAGACTTCAAAATAGTGTGATCTGCATTCTTGTCCACCTACACACTGTCTCAAACATCCTGCCATTAATTAGCTAAATGGCCCATCTCGTAAACAATTGCTAAATGCTGAGGGGGCTGGAAAAGAGCAAGAGTCACAAACCAGTCAGTCCACTCCTTAGGATCTGAAGAAGGTGAACTTTTATCTTGTACAGGATGGGGAAAAGAAATCGCCTCAGTGTAACATTGCCTTTCCTGTTGTTGCAGACACAGTTACATTAGCAGGCTAGAAAAGCGATCCCGTTTCTGCGGTAGGCACTCTGTCAAAGAAAAAGAAATCTGCAGTGAATTATCACATCAAGTCAAACAAGAAAAGGAGGCAAAAAGCAAACTGAGCTTTCTTTTTCATTTGTAGACTGCTGGCTACAACCTAATAAGAGTGCTTAATATGAATAGTTCTGGTGGGAAAGTTATAGCAACCATTCTATTAAAAGTCAGTGTGGTTGACAAGTGGTTAGTGATTCTATTTTTGGGATGTGGGAGATAGGCAAAATAAGATATCCAATTTTTTAAGTGATTGGTTAAGCCAAAGAGATGTGTTGAATCTGTTCTGTCTTTTATAAACATATGTTCTCTATTCAGCATGCTCCAGAATCACTTCTAAGTATCTTAATAGTCTATAAATTACTGACTCATAGATTTCTCGGGCCTAATTTATAGTCTGAACAGACACAGAGGCCTTTCCTCTCTCCTAAAAGATGATTTCAAAGGAATTCTGCACATTACAGACAGTAAGGAAAATTAAGCTGACTCAATTTCATATACATACATGTGCATGTAGGTGTACATATGGCCATACATGCAGGATAAACTTTCTCATAATTGATACTAACTGCAAAATTACAATGTATCCCAGTTAAGAAAGCAGAAACTGCATGCTATTCATTGCAAGTGAGATTTGACATTTCAGAGTTGGAAGACCCGGGCAACACAGCGTTTCTTATTATTGGTCCTGAATCTTATTTTGCTGTAAAATTCAGTACTTAGGATAGAATTCCCCTTTCAGAGGCATACTTTGCATTATTTCAACCCATTACAGTCCATTTAGAGATCTGAGAACCCTCAATGAATTTTTTAAATAATCGGTCTTCAGGAAAATGGAGAAAATGATAAAAATCTCATTAGGCCCCCTCCCCCACAGTAGTAATTCCGAGCTGCTCTGGAGTTTTTGCACTTTCAGCTCAATAAATTTATTGTCAGTGGCTGTTTTTATTTAAGAAATAGAGAGTAGAGGCAGACAGCTGAATAAAGGTGGCCTGCATACAACTCTGCCATAGGGGAGAACTCTGGAATTGAGCAGGAAGTACCAGGAACCCTAAACAGCAGGGAGAGTCAGAAAGGCAACCTAGAGTAAAGGACAAAGCAAATTGTAGTTTCAGCCCTGCCAGGGTTGTGTATATGTTTCTTATGGGGAAAAAGTAGGTAGCACAGTGCCAGCAATCCTCATCACAGTAACATACCAGCAGTACTAAACTACATGGTCCTCACAGGTCTTAAATCTAGCCCTTGGGGAGGGCTGGGGATTTAGCTCAGTGGCACCGAGCCTGCCTGGCAATCACAAGGTCCTGAGTTCAATCCCCAGTACAAAAAAAAAAATCCAGTTGGGGTGCTGGCTGATCTAAGAGTGACTGCTCTAAAGTAGGAACTCACTTTGGACTTCCTCCAAGCCCTGGAACCTAAGCTGCTACAACTTGCACTGCCAGAAGCTCTCCTGCCTTAGGGGTGGCCACTGGAAACCACTGGAAGCTTCAGGCTGGTGTGTGCTTTACTGGATGGAAGATGCACCCCTCAGCTCAGGTCCAGTGAATGCCAAGGGCCCCAAGCTGGAGTTTCACCTGAGTTTGCCCTGAGGGAACTAGTAAAGGTCTCTTTAGGGCATAACCTTGAGACTATAGGTGCAGGTACAAAGGGCTCCCTTCGCTCAGACCTGTTCACTAAGAAGGCCCTAATCATTTCCTGCAGCTTTAGGAATGTGGCTACCAGTGGGTACAATCCCTGGAACCACCTGTGTGTACTTGCAGGAACTAGGGAAGGTCTTCTCTGTAGCCCACAGCCTTGGTGTTCTAGCTGCTGGTAGAAAAAGCCCTGGCATTACCCAGGCTTGTTCCTGGGGAGCAGAGGAACATCTCTTCCAGGTCATGTAGCTCCAGGAACATGGCTACCAGTGACACAACCTTAGCTTCACCAACACTTGTTCCACATGACCTAGGGACATTCCCAGCCATGTCCTGTAGCTCCAAGATGGCACACACCAAAACCCAAGTCCCAGCGGCTGACGGTACTATAAACCTCAGTACCAGTTGCTCCACAGGACTTGGGAAAGGTCCCAGCCCATCCAGTGGCTCCAAAACTAACTACTAGTGCTACAGGCCAATCATATCCTGAATTCATCCTGTGGCTTGGGATCTATGGCTGCTGGTATCAACTCTGCCACTTGTGCTTGCTCTAAAGAACCTCGGGAGAGTCCTTGCCACATCCCATACCACTCAGTTGGGCAGCTGCAACCCCAAGCCCCAGTGCCATCAATAATGCATACATTTGGAAGCCTACATTGACTGCAAAGTCACACAGGTACCTTCCTGAACTGCTGCAGTATGCACTGTTGAGGCACTCATAGACACTGCTGACACCAGTTAAAAACTTCAAGAAATCACACTGAGAGTATGTTTTTGTGTTCCCTTGAAACCAAACCCAGAGTACCTTTCCAAGTGACTTTGTATATCCCTTCTAAAGGCAAAACCTTTTTCTGCAGAAGCTATTTCATAGAATTGGAAGAGGTGAATGTTACACCAGATGTGCAGACATCAGGGTAGGGACCCAAGAAACAGGAAAGGAACCATGACATCTCTAGAGGAAAATAATAATTCCCTAGGAACAGATCCAAATTTAAAGAAATTCTATGAAATGCCTGAACAGGTAATCAAAAATAAGAAAACTCAGTGAGATCCAAAACAAAACAAAACACACCCCCCCCCCAACAGGTAAAATATAAGGACATGAGAAAAACAATTTAGGATATAATTGGAATCATAATCAGAAATAAAGAGTTTCCATAAGAGATGAGAACAAGCAGAATAATTTCTGAATTTGAGGATCTTTTGAATCAATTCAAAAAAAACTACGAGAAGGACTACAAGATTAATGGGACACCATTAAGCAAAAAGTTGGAGGAAATATCATTAAAACTGGTTTAATGAAGTAGTAGCCAAAACTTCCTATATTTTCAAGAGACATGGAAATCCAGATACAAGAAAATTTAAGAACCCTAACCAAAATGGACCTTTGCCAAGGCATACTATACTCAAAATATTGAAAGTACAATACCCCTTTTCCTGCCAAAGCAAGAGAAAACCATCAAATCACATGCAAGGGGATGTCTATTAGGGTTACATCAGATGCTTCAAGCAGATGCCTTACAAGCCAGAAGAGAATGGGATGATATATTCAAGAAAAAAACAAAACAAAACCCCAAAACCAACTCTCCCAACCCATACCCAGCAAAATTATTCTTCAAAAGTGGAGAAACATAGTCTTAAGAAAAATAGAAACTGGGGGAATTCATTACCAAGAGATAAGCCCTACAAGAAATACTTAATAAGAGTACTACACCAGAAACAAAAGAGCAGTAACTACCATTCTAAATACAAAACTCAGTAGAACAGATACATGACAGAAACAGAACAGAGTCAAATCTTAGTACAACAGAAAGCTATTAAATCACAAATAATTCTATTTCTTTTTAAACTATTCCAGAAAACTGAGATGGAAGGACTTCTGCCAAACTGTTGATTTTCTGAAGCTAAGACCAGGATTACCCTGATACCCAAACCAGACAAAGATAGAACAAAATTAGACCTACATCTCTGAACACATAGATGCAGAAATTCTCAGTAAAACACTACTAGCAAACTGAATTTAATAGCACATCAAAAGGATCATACACTGATCAAATGGGATTCATTCCAGGATGGTTCACCCTACACAAATCAATAAGCATGATGCTTCATCAACAGAATGAAGGCAAAACCCATATGAGAAGCTCAGGCTGGGAAGGACACAATATTTTATCTCAATCTGATAAAATCCATTATGTAAATATAAGCATAGTGCCAACATCATATTAAATGGGGAAAATCTGAAAGCTTTTTCTGTAAAATACATGACAAGGATGGCCATTGTCACCACTCCTGTTCAATATAGTACTGTACTCAAAACAGAGCAATCATGCAAGAAAAATTAAAGGTATACATATAGGAGGGCTGGGGATTTAGCTCAGTGGTTCTGCCGCCTGCCTCGCAAGCACAAGGACCTGAGTTTGATCCTCAGTACCAAAGAAAACAAAAACAAGTCATTTAAAGAAAAAGGTATACATATAGGGAAAGGAAGAAATCAGACTATCCTAATTTGAAGATGACATGGTCTTTTACATAGAAGACCCAAAGAATGTCATGAAAAACTTCTAGAATTCATAAATTCAGTAAGGTATCAGGGTACAGAATCATACAAAGCAAAAGCTTTCCCATACATCAATAATGAACCTGCTGAGAAATTAGGAGAATAATGCCATTCACAGTAGCTTCAAGAAAAATTAAACATTTAGGAATTAACAAAGTGAAAGATCTCTATAATGAAAACTACAAAGAGGACAACAGAAAATGGAGATACACCCTGTTCCCAGATAGGCAGACCCAATATTGTCAAAATAGCCATACTATCAAAACAGATATACAGGATTAACACAACATCAAAATATCAACATCATTCCTTACAGAACTAGAGAAAACAATACTAAAATATGGAACCAGAAGAGACTCAAGACTAGCAAAAGCAAGTAACAAGAGCAAAGCAGAAGACGTCACACTTTTGGATTTCAAGTGATGTGAGGAAGCTACAGTGATAAAAATGACATGGTACTGGCACAAAAATACGTATAGAGATTAGTGGAACAGAAGAGGATGTAGGAACAACTCCAAGCACATTCAGCTACTTGATCTTTGACAAAGGGGCCAAAAACATACACTGGAGGAAAGATAGCCTTTTTAACAAATGGTGCTGGGAAATCTGGCAATACACCTGCAGAAGATTGAATCTAGACCCATGTCTCTCACCATGTACTAAAATAAAAATGGATCAAAGACCTAAATATTAGAAGCAATCTGCTGGAAGATAAAATAGGTGAAACACTTGAAGAGAAGTATAGGCAGGAACTGTCTGAACAGAAATAACATCAAGGATCACTAAATGGGATTATGTCAAGTGGTATTATATCAAATTAAAAAGCTTCTGAACAGCAAAGGAAACAGGCAACAGAGTGAATAGACAACTGCAGAATGGGTAAAACCTTTTGCCAGGTACTCAGTCTTCAGAGAGAAGACTAATATCTAGAATACATAACACAAAAAATTAGACTCTCCCTACCCAAAATAAAAGATCCAACCAAAAAATGAGCAGCTGAAATGAGCAGACAGTTCTGAGAAGGAGTACAAGTGGCCAATAAATAACATGAAAAAATGCTCACCATCTCTGGCCACTAGAGAAAATGCAAATTAGAAAACCCTGAGATTCCATCTTACCGTAGGCACAATAGCTATCATAAGAAATCATGTAACAAATGGTAGCAAGGTTGTGAGGAAAAAGGAACCCTTCCACATTGTTAGTGGGAAGGTAGACTAATTCAATCACTATAGAAATCAGTATGGAGATTCTTCAAGTAACTGACCCCCCCCCCCCGCCAAATTACTATTTAACCCAGCTATTATTCCCTTTTAACTACCTTCCACAGAGACACATCATAATACAGTGATAACATGCATTCCTATGTTTATAGAAGCACAATTCATAGCTAAATGTTGGAAGTGGACTATATGTTCATTAACAGATGAATGGATAAAGGAAATGAGGTACTTATACATAACAGTTCACTCTTCTACCATAAAGGATAAAACTGAGTCATTTGTAGGAAAATGGATGCACCTTGAGATAAGTGAAATAAATCACACACACAAACTTAAATGTGGCATGATTTCTCTTACGTGAGAAATCTAAAGTGTAAGTAAAGCAAAATATAGATTAATAGATAAATGTTTTGCATATGGGGAGGGGATGTAAAAAGAATTGTGTTGTATACATATACCAACTCCCCACAATGAATATAATCATTATGTACTGCAAACATACTAATAAAAATTTTAAAATAGAAATTTTGAGATCATACTCTGGTACCTGAAGTCTTAGCGAGAACTAAGAATTAATCCTGTTAAAATGACAGTTATGGTGTAATCTAAAATGTACCCCAAGGGACTCATGTTTAGAAGTGGGACTTTTGGATCATGAAGGGTCCCACTTCATAGATTAATCAGTTGATGGGTTCATTAGTTGAATGGATTTATTAGGAGGTGGGGGCCTAATTGCATGAAGTAGGTAACTTGAGAGTATGGGTTTAAAGGTTATATGTTGCTCCCAGCCCCTTCTTTTCTGGCTCTAACTCTGCTATCTGGCTGTCATGGAGCAAGTAATTGTCCTCTGCTATGCCCTTTCACCATGCTTTATCTGCCTTTAAGTTAGCCGATCATGGCCTGTGAAAACATAAGCTAAAATCTTTCCTATTCTAAATTGTTTTTTCTTAGTCACAGCAACACAAAGCTGACTCATACAATGATCATACTACCAAAGTGATCTAAAGATTCAGTCTAGTTCCTATCAAAATGCCAACAATTTTAACATAGAAAAACAGAAACATAGAAAATACTCGTAAAATTTATATGGAATCAGAAATGACTCAGAATAGCCAATGTGATCCTGGGGGGTGGAAGTTGGGCAACTGATTTGTTGCTGTGACAAAGTCCCTAAAAAAGACAAATGAATAAGGGCCAGGGATTTAGCTCAGTGGTTCCACTGCCTGCCTTGCAAGCACAAAGTCCCGAGTTCGATCCCTGGTACCAAAAAAAAAAGACAAAGATTAACAGACCAAAGATTTTGGTTTATGGTTTCAGAGGTTTCAGTCCACAATAAGGCAGGCAGTATGTAATGGGAGAAGGACATGGCAGAGGAAAGCTGTTCAACTCATGGCAGGCAGGAAGCAGAAAGGAGTTGAGAACTAGATGTAACCCCCAAGGTCATGCCCCCATGACCCCATAATGCATTTCCTTCAACCAGCTCCCTCTCCCCCATTTCCATCACCTCCAGATTATGGCATCACATTATGATCTCATCCACTGATGAATTTAGAGCCCTCATCATCCCTGATGATCCAATGTCTTACTGAAAGCCTACCAGCTGGAAAACAAGCCTTTAACGTAATATGTCCTTCCAGGACATATTTTAGATAAAAAGCATAACACAACAACAACAACAAAAAGCGGGAGGCACCACAATACCCGACTTCAAACATCCTGTGAAGCTGTGATAATCAGTAGCATGGTATTGGCATAGATCAACCCAGCATGTTTATAGAGTCAAGTGATTTTTTGGGGGGGGGTACCTAGGATCGATCTCAAGACCTTGTGCTTGCAAGGCAGGTGGCGGCACCACTGAGCTAAATTCCTGGCCCCTAGAGTCAAGTGATTTTTGATAATGGCACCAAGAACATATAGTAGAGAAATACTCTCTTCATGGTACTGACTAAACTGGATATACATATGAGGAACTAGATCCCTTTCTCTCACAGTATACAAAAATCAACTCAAAGTGGATCAAGGACTTAATCCAAAACCTGAAATTAGAAAGAAAACATAGAACATATATAGGGAAAACACTTCAAAATATTGGTGTAGGAAATGATATTTTTAGAGAAGACAAAGGCACAAGCAACAAGAGGCAAAACAAAAATCAGATTATATAAAACTAAGAAGCTATTGGAAAACAAAACAAAGCAAACAAAAGAACCACTTACCATCAGTCCAATTATTTAAATATAGAATGATCAAAAATTGGATTTTAAAATTTTCATAACAGGAAATATAAAAAATGACAATTTTATCAAATTTATTCAATACAAGAATTGACTGGTTGAAGTGACACTTGCTGGAGCAATGCTCTGGCCTGAGTTACATTTGGGGCAAACTGTTAAGTGGTTAAAGCCAGTCTACAGAATGGCAGAAAATATTTGTAAAGCTATTCATCTGACACAAGGGATATCCAAATATATAAAGAAATAAAAAAGCTGAACACACACAAACCAAATAAATCAGTTTAAAAATGGGTTAAAGATCCAAATAGACACTTCTCAAAAGACCATCAAGCACAAGAAAAATGCTCAGTCTTACTAAACAGTATGGAAATGCAAATAAAAATTACAGTGATAGCCGCTGACCCCTGTTATGGTTTGGATCTGGAACGACTCCTAAAGGTTTGTGTAGTGAAAGCTTTGTCACCAGCTAGTAGTACAATTGGGAGGGGGTGGAAACTTCAGGAGGTGGAACTACTAGGAGAAGCAGATCATCGGGGGGGTGTTTTTGAAGGATATATTGAGACCCAGGCCCCTCCTTCTGTTTCCCAGCTGCCACGAGGCACACCATGTGCTTCTTGCTGTGATGTACTGTTTCATTACAGGCCCATTAACAAGTGGGGCATATGATCATGGACTGAAACATCTAAAACCATGAGGCCAAATCTTTCCTCCTCGAAAGTTCCAAAATCTAGCATAACTATTATTAAAAAAGAAAATGTACCTGGTACTTGGTACTCAAAATAGCCAGACATGATGGAATTTGAGGCCAGCCTGGGCAATTGAACAAGACTTTGTCTCAAAGTAAAAAATGTGAAATGTGCTGGGGATGTAGTTCAGTGGTAGAATGGTTCCCTGGTATGCACAAAGCCCTGAGCTCAATCCCTGGCACCAAAACAACACAAAACAAAAAACTCCCCAAAACCTAAAAGGCAGAAAATAACAAATACTGGGAAGTGTGACAGTTAATCCCAATATGTCAGCTTCAATAAATTAAGATTTATTTAGCAGATTAGATGAGCATTCTTTTGAGTGTGTTAGGGAGGCATAGCCTTGGATACTATATATGGCCCTTCCCAGGTTTATCTCTGGCACCATTTTCCTGGTATGCTTCCTGGCCCCCAGAGCTAAGTAGCTTTGTTCTACCACACTCTTACACCATGAGGTTCTGCCTTGGAGCCTGCAGACCACATCCCAAATCTCCTTTAAGTTGTGGGCGTCTGGTATTGTGTCTCAGTGATGGGAAGCCTACTACTGCAAGGATTTGGAGAAAGGGGAACTCTGTTGGTGAGAATGTAAATTAGCCCCACCATTACAAAGAGCAGTATGGAGATTGCACAACAGACTAAAATAGAACTCCCATATCATCCAGCAATTAGGTTTCTGAGTACCCAAAAGCGATGAAATCATTATTCTGAAAAAGTATTTGCATTCCCATATTTATTGCAGCACCATTCACAACAGCTAAAATACTGAGTCAAGCTATGTGCCCTTCAATGGATGAAAGTATAAAGAAACTATATATATATATATATATATATAAACAGTGAAATATTAATGAGCCATAAAGAGAATGAGATCCTATCCTTTGAAGCAACATGGATAAAATTTGAGGTCATTATGCTGTGAAGTAAGCCAGACACAGATGACAAATATCACAGCTTCTTACTCATTTTTGGAAACTAGTAAGTCACTTCTGTAGGATGGTGGGATAATGTCACTAGAGCCTGGGGAGACTGGAAGGGGAGGGGGAAAGTTCAATAAGGTAAATATTTTTTTAATGCCATAGTTTGGTAACTGAGTTAAAGCAATCTGTTATGTATTTCAAAACGACTAGAAAAGTACAAATTTCCCAGCAGATAAAAATGGAAATACCCTGATTTCATTACATATTTTATACATATATTATACCCCATAAACATGAACACATCTTAGAGTAAGGTTTTACAATCGAGATAATGTTGTGAGGTGCTGAAGAATTTTAATCTTACAAAATGATTAAATTTGTAATCATACTCAAAATGGAAAGTGGACTTGACTCAAACCTTTGTAGAAAGACTTGCATCAACATGCTGTGAAGCAAGTATGGTTTTCTAGATAACCTTCTGTTAATCATAAAATTCAACAACTTTGAATGCCTTCTCCAAATAATGTGCTCACAGAGGATTTACTGTTGTCAGGCTTTGAAGCCCTGGCTGCAATTTCATCACTTGGCCATGACCTATGCAGTTCATGTTGCATCAGCGTACCATGAATGGGAACACAGTGGCACAGTCCAACCTTCATTCCTTAGCACTTGCTCTCTGAGCTCCCACTGTAGTGCTCTTTGTGCTATACATACAGCACTACTGGAGAGAAGCAAACATAACAATGAACTCCAAGTGCGCCTCCTAGATTGTGTGCTGGAGGACAGAATTCAGTGAATTATTCTGCAGAGAGCCACCAGTAACTTCCAGGAATAGAGAGGGTGTCTTTCCCAAGTGTAGGCTGAGGAGCATGGCCCTGAAACAGCTCATTCGCCATGGTTCCCTTCGGCTTGTGCCAAAGTAGTACTTTCAATTCCTTGTTCCTGACATTTTACACTTTACAGCCACACCAGTAACCTTTAATGTAACATTTGAGGGGAACCAACATGGCTGACTAGAGGAGGAGATGTATTATAGGGGCTCAGAGTGGATTCAGCAAAACCACAGGGACAGAATCCAAATCATCTAAGTTAAATGGCTGAAGGGGGTATATATTATTTCTAGACATAGTTGAAAACATATCACAGGAAGGCAGTATCTACTAAAAAGATCATCATATCAATTATACACTCTCCTGTCCTACTGGGCCTCAACTCTGAGCACCACAAAAGGGAATAAAAGGGGGAAAATAAAAAACAGATATGCATACATACAAGATCATTGGAAAACAAGGCAACAAAAGACACTCAAGGTGTGCTCGCTTTGGCAGCACATATGCTAAAAGACATTCAAGGTCCCACAGCTCTCCCAATGCAGATCCAGACAGCACAAATGAACAGGTAAACAAACACCAAGTAGCAGAACTGTACAAGTTGTTTAAAGATGATATAAAGAAATGTGATGAATCAAAGTTTATGAGATTATCACACAAAATGACCAGTGTGGATTTGGAGGAAACAATAAATTGGAAGAGCTGACCAAAATAGTTCAAAACATGAACAACAAATTTTCCAAAGATACAGAATTGATAAAAAAAGGTACCATGCATAAATTCCAGATATAAAAAACTGTATAGAATTCATAAACCGGAGAAATGACCAATGTGAAGATGGGGTTTCTGAAATCAAGGACAAAAGGGCAAGTTATGACAAAGTATTCAGAGAAGCCTCAAAAAAGATAAGAGAACAAGAAAAACTCACCCACCAGCTGCTAGATGACACTAAGAAGACCAACATAAGGCTAATTGGAGTTAGAAACTAAAGATCACACACATGGAAGAATTAAGTTTGCAGAAATCATATAGAAAATGCCTCAATTTGAGAAAAGCGTTGAATTTACAAGTAAGTGAAACAGAACACCATGATGAAAAAAAAACAACAACTCAGGACACATCATAATTAAAATGTCAGATGTCAAACAAAAGTTGAGTTAATGACCTCAACTCTCCAGTTAAAAGACACAGATTGGCAGACTGGATCAAAAAACAGAATCCAACAGTCTGTTGTATTCAAGAAACTCATCTAACCCAAAAAGATATTCACTGGCTAAAAATAAAAGGATGGAAAACAGTTATTTCATGCACCAGGACCCTGAAAACAAGCATGGATAATTTTAATCTCAGACAAAATAAACTTCAAGCTAAAACTGATAAGAAGAGAAAAAGAAGTTCACTACGTACCAGTAAAGGTAATAAGCCAAAGAAGAGAAAATGCTGGTAAGTACAATACCACATATATGCACCAAATACTGGAGCACCTGTCTTCATAAAAACTCGCAGACCTAAAAGATCAAATAAATACTAACACAATCATAGGTGGTGTCACTACCTCACTTTCACAAAGAACTAGATAAACTAAACAGAATATCAATAAATATCAGAGTTGAACCACATCTTTGCACATATGAACTTAATAGATATCCACAGTGTTCTACCGTACAACAGAATATACATTCTTCTCTGCAGCACATGAAACGTTCTCCAAAACAGATCACATAGTAGTCCACAAGGGCTGTTTAAATAAATACAAAAGAACTGAAATCACCCATGTTTACTATCAGACCACCTTGGTTCACGAACTTAATTCTGTTCTACAGTTTTGGAGAAGATGGCCATGTTTGTGTTTGTGTGGGAAAGATGGCCATGGTCATGTTTGTCATCCAATGGAGAGTTTGCAAACACAAAATTCTGCCAAACACTTCTGTTTGGGAACCAAACTGTTTGCAAATAAAAGTGTTTGTGAGCTGTGGTACCACTGTATTTTGCAGAAGATCGAAGCTGGACCCATACTTTTTCACCATGTACTAA